TTACAGTAAAACTTTTAAAAGTTCTTGAAAATTATATATATAAATTTAATATTTTTAAATGGAAATTGTTGAAATTGATTGTTCAATAATTTTTATTCTCGGCACAATGTTTATTTATGAAAATAGTTTTTAAGAGCAACTGTTTTACTCTCAAGTATAATTCACACGAAAAATAAAGTTACTTGAGAATAACTCGCAAAAGTTTTCAAATTCACATTCACATTTTTAAATTTTATATGTAAATAAAATTAAAAAAATAATAGCGATAGATAATTTTCAATGTAAACCGCTGTATACGTACGGAATACACACATGATATTACAAATAAAAACCGCAGACGAAGGACTGGTTTGATGGCCCACATTTGACGTTTACTTATCTATTCTAACAGTTAGTGTTATGTTACACAATATTCTTGAGTAATGGATATTTAACTCTTATATGGATAATATGCAAACGTATCGTAATATGCAATCGTAGTCGTGATCAAAATGATGATTTGATGGAAAAGAAAAAAAATCTTATTAGTGGAAATATTAAGAAGTTCTTTTTCATCTTTTTCATTAATTAGTTAGTTGTTCTTTTTAATTTTTTATTTCATTCTCGTTGAAAGAGAAAATAAGATATTCTCTTGAGACACGACATTTTTACGGATATTTACATTGTGCTAATGGAATTAATTTTTCTGAAAATAGCTTTTATATTGATTAATAGCAAAATAAAAGTAGATATGTGTTAAATTATATATAAACTTATTTGAATGAATATTTTCAATTGAATATTATTAGCATATCTATACAATCATATTATTTGTAATTACAGAAGCATTTAGATAACAATCTATGTTAATTGAATTGTAAATACTCATTTATTTATTAATATTGTTTATCTTAAAAGTAAAAAAATTTTGGAAAACTTGAATTTTTTTTCATTGAAATAATTATAATTTGAATAACTTTCTGATTTTAATTAGATTATAAAAAAATAGGTGAAAGAATAATGTGATATCAATTTATGTTTATTTATTATCTTCACACAATACACGATTATTATTGTGAAAATAAGAGATATATCTTGTTAAGCCTCTTATAAAGTAAAGAGGCCTTCAAAAATTGCATCTCACATGATAACACGAGGATGCGGATTTAAATTAATAATGGGCTTCAGCAACAGTACCCTCACTAAACGATCATTGAATACTTTGCTCCCCCAAGACAAGGATAGAACATGGTCTTTACAACGATCTTATATCACGTTAACCAATAACTGTAATTGCGAGAATAATCTGCCATCTAGCGGCCGTTTTGGAAAGCTTTGAAAGTAGTAGTATGATTTAAAATATACGTAATTAAATATATACGTACATAAACATATTTTTTCTTTTATTTTTGATTTAAATTATACATTAATATTATTAATATAATAATTAAAATATTATTCTCACAAAAATATTAATTTAATAATATAAATATTATATACATTATTTATAATTTTTTTCTATGTATATATTTTCTATTTTTTATAATCGCATAATAAAAGTGTTCTCAATGAATTTTTTGCTATTTTATTTAGTTATCTATGTAAAAGTAAAATTAATTGAATTCTATAAACAAAAAATTGTACAACGTAGTTTATTACAAGGTGGAAATAATTCCTTGAACACACTATGATAGAAGTAGATAATACATTCTTAGAACGAGATTTATGAAATATTATTATCCTTGATATTATTTTTTATTCTTTTTTCTAATTCTTTTCTTACTTTTTCCTTATTTTGTTCTTTGTTTTTCAATTATATAACAGTTCACAATTATGTACATAATTATATGTTATATTTATACTGAAAGAAGATATATACATAGATAATAGATTTCATCTAATTGTAAATAAAATATTCGTAATTGGAGAAAATGCATAGAATACCTAAACGAACAAGTTATGTCACAAATCACTGACAATGACCTAAAAACCACAGATGAATAAATTTTGGCCTCAGTATTATGTTCTTTATAACCTCGAACTACAAGGTTTTCAATATATATATATATAATTGAATTCAATAATGATCTTCAATTTTTTTTTTTGATATTTGATTTAATATATCAACAATATATAATAATGTTATTAGAACATTAAAATTAGTCATTTTTAAAAAGAATATAAGAAAAAATTTATTTATATTTAAAAATAAATAATAATAAATAATCTTAAGTAAAATAAAAAATTTTTTTGTAGAATAAATTATTTATTAGTAAGTTATTAATTATTAGAAGAAGATTGATTAAATTTTATAGATTTTTTTATCTGTAAAAAATTTAAATTTTATTAAATTTTGTCTTTTATCATATAAAAATAAGTAATACAAAATGTATTTCTACTTTTTTTTCACGCGGAAGATAAAAATGCAAAGCAATGAGTGTAAGATTAAAATTTCATTTTCTTCATTAACGTCGTCTAGATTTTTAAATTTTAAATCTAAAATTTATGTGATCACTTAGTAGATAAATTATAAGATAATAATATAATCGTTTGACAAAGAAAAGAAATTAAAGTAGAAAGAAAATGTGTAATTAACTTAAAAAAAGATTATGTTATCTTATCTTATCTGGTATCGGACACATTGTTTTTATATTTTATCTTAATAAAATTACGATAATATTATGAAATTGCAATTTTACTAAATATTTTAGTAATTCCAACCACAAAAAGATAAATTTTTCTTTTTTCTTTCAATTCGTTCAATTTTTTCTGCTGTTGAAGAGCTTTAATACAAAATTAAAAATCCTTCACAGATTGTCAACAATTGTTATCTTATCTGTACATAACGTCTAAAGCCAAAGAAGACTCCTATCTATTTTGTTACATTGTACGGTTATGTACGTTTAAGTACAGCTGTTAGGTGTCAAACGGAGGAATTATTTTAATTTATGATTGACGTATGAAAAATGATAAGCTTGAACGACGTTGCTTCAGAACTTTCATGTAAAAATTCATTTTATTTAAAATCTGTAAAAAATATTTTATTTTACATTTAAGAGTAAAAAACAAATAAGCATATCTTGCATATCTATACCGATAAATTAATAATTATATAACGTCTAATTAATCAAATAATTTTTTGAAGAGAATTAATTTTAACATAGAAGGAATTTTCTTTTAGAAATTTTTTTTTTCAGATTAATCCATTAATAAAAAGAAATATAAAATGAACATAAATTTGACAATGTAGAAAACAATATTCGATCGATGTACGCAAACAAGTCAAGAATAATTTATTGCAAAGCTCGTCGTTCTCTTCTTCATACCATATTTTATTCGAAGTATTATTTTTTATTTGTTCAAATGTCGGCTCGAACTTGTGTGATTCGTCGACGAACGAAATTATCCGCGTGACTTCGATTATGTTAAAACTCGTTCGCCAAGTGGCCATAATCTTCAATAACATCCGTTAGCATCTCTTCTTCCTGCGTTTACGATTCTTCGTCAATTTACAACTCCATTGTGCATCGTTTCTCGTTGTGTGGTTACAAATTGTAATATACACGACTCGAAGTTCCAGAATTTATCATATGGTAAACTCGATTCGAAGAAAATTTTCTTTCAACGATGATAATTTTGATTTGAGATTTTTCAGACATTTGGTTTGTGAATATAATAAAATGTTATATATGATTTATTTTTTTTTATTAGAAATCAGAGTTACAATTAATTGAGTAAAAAAAAAAAAAAATAATAATTCTGATATAAATATGATCCTCTTTTATTTTATTTACATCATAATATCAAACAAAACAAACTTTTTCAATTTCATTCGATTGAAATGATATCTAATTTTGATAATATAAATTATAATAATATATTTAATATATTTAATTAATATATTTTTTTTCACGTTAGAAATTAATTCAATAAAAATATTTTAACTATATAGATAGATTATCCGTTCGAAAGTATGAATAGTTTTTGAATGGATTATAGTGAAATTTCAAATAACTAAGATTTAGAAATAATGGTTCAAAAAATAGTTTTTTTTTTTTTGGTAAAAGTTCTTTTATTTTTACTTCGACTTATATAACGTGAATCACGTTACAAATCAAATGAATTTATTGCTTTGTACAATTTTTTTTTGTAATCGTGTTAATCCTTTTATCGTAATCTGATTTGATACGATTATATTCTTCAATGTATTTTATCTAGAAAAATTAATAAAACAAATGTATTAATTTACAATTAACATTCTGTTTTATTCTGTTTTAGAATAACATGATTTTTCAAATTTCGTATCGATGAATTTATGAAGGAAGAATATGGTAATATAATTAATATTTATATAATAATTTAATTGATATTCAATGTTAATATCAATTAAAATATTAATGTAATTTTGCCAAACATCTACATTCATTATAAAATTTTCGAAGAATTTCAAACAGATCTATAAAACAAGAAAGGAAAAGGAAAAAAAAAATTTAAATAATATTTCTTAATCTCTCATCTTATGAAAAAATATTTATCGAACTCACGTAATAACGTGATAGTTTTCAGTTACACGAAAACGACTCGGAACGTATCCACGTTTACCAAAACTCTTTCCTTTCTCATCAATCTTTTCACCAAACTTCATAACGAATATCAAATCGAAGTTGACTTTCAAGTGAGGAAGTGATTCAACCATCACGTTTCCTGCAAAATTGTAATATTTTTCTATTATTATATTGTTTTATTATATAGATAGATATGATATTCTAAAGAAATATTTATAATTTATAAATTAATTTTAATTAATACACAATTATAATTTTATTTATATAATATTACTTAACTCAAATTTTCACATAATTATGTATAAATTAAATTACAATTGTATTACATTTGTATTTTTATATATTTTTACATAATTTCGATAATTTAATTATAATAATAAAATGAAATGGAATGGAATATGATTAAAGAACATTTTATTAGGAATGTATGATGATTCATTGAAAACATAACCAATAATCGCATAATCGTAAAAAATCAATTCATTTATTTCTATTGTAAATTTTGAACTAAATAACATTATATACAAGTCCAAACTGTTACAACTATAACTTATATAAGCAAATTAATTGATCACATTAATTTTTATGATTTCTTCCTTCTGCGAGCCAGTCATCATACATCAAACTTACGTTGATCTGTCGTTTGATCTAAACGTATCACAACTATTATTTTCCCTATATATATATATATATATACACCTAGTATACCTGACATGGCGAATTGATTTGAACAAATGTATCTTTACGGTGTACGATTATGTACAATGAACAACTCATCACGAGGTCTGCTCCTTTGTCGTGCCACCCCACCACACACGAAACACACGGAGGTGGGACGTTGTGTCGAGTGTTGAATTAGATTCAGTAAAGTAAGTCGATGAGTGCGCGCTGGTCGGTCCGGTTATTGTGCAGAATCGTGCTGGATCGCTGTTTTGTTATGTAATTCTCCCCCTCTTTCCTTCCTTCCAATTTTATTTTTCCGCTCCCATCCTCCCTTCCGAAAAACTCTCCCTCTTTTCGCAAAGATCGCCAGAGATCGAAATTCTATCGATCGAAATCTCTTGTGTTTTCCTTTTCTCTTTTCTCTCTCTCTCTCTCTCTCTCTCTCTCTTTCTTCTATTTCTCCTTTTCTTTTCTTTTCTTTTTTTTCTTCTTTTTTGAATATCTGCTGCTCCGTCAGGGTGAGTCAATATATACACCTAATAAGTAAGTTTCTATGAGTGTGTTAAACGCGCAATGTTAATCTTTTTTTTTTTTTTCGTACAAAAATTAAAGATATCGTTAAAAGAATTCCAAGATCGTTAAGATTTCTTCGAGCGAGAAAGCAATAAAATGTCTCAATGACATTTGAAGCTCAAGCTTTTATATTAATCCTCTTTTAACAACTTACACGTTGTCTCTTAACAAAGAAACGAGAAATATCTTGGTCTCGATAAAATGAAAGAAATATTTTTCTGTCTGTGATGCAACGTGATCGTTATCCATTGATAATCCACGAGGCATAAGCGGCGTGTTAAACGAGGAATAAAAGATGGCCCTTTTCAACTAGTTAAGTTTCTCTCGTACACTTAGGCAGGTATACTCGCACTTTGAATATCTCGAATATCCTGCTCTTTCTCTCTCTCTCTCTCTCTCTCTCTCTCTCTCTCTCTCTCTCTCTCTCTCTCTTTCTTCCAATCTCGTGACAGTTGTTGGTTAAGTAACATTTACATTCTGTAAGATTGCGAACGTTCAATTCAACGAAACAAGAAGCGTCCCAGTTGTGATTACAGCCGCAGGTATTTAATGATGGAATATTTTGGCGCGTGTTCTACTGAGCGTTTAATTAGTAATCTCGGATAGAGAACTCGTGGTATTTACATCCGTTTTTCTACGTTCTTGTTTACGTAATACGTGAATATCATAGCAATTTGTGCGATTTATAATTGCGCGTGTGTAACAGTGAATATCAATATCGTTTTCGAAAAATTTGTTTTTAATATTGGTTTGAATATTAATTTCAACGAGGCTTGAACAAGTAGTTGTTTTGAATCCAATTATTATTCATCGTGTTCAATTTCATCCTATTACCATTTTCACGTGTTTCATCCGATTAATACGTATTGAAAGATTAAGATAAATTTTCATGAAAAAAAAGATGATTGAGCACGATTAAGAAACGATTAGAATTTATGATATTTCATATTTCGTAGAATTTCTTCACGCACGTTTTATATACAATTCATAATACTTTTTGTTTCTTACGCATAATCTTTTATTATTATTTATCATCTTTCTTTGTTATTATTCCTTTGATAAAGAGGAATATTTCTAAAAATTATTTCTTTATCATAATGCAGATTATTCCCTTTTATTATATTATAATTTTATTATAACTTAAATTAGAATTTGTAAAAAATTTATTTATCGAATGTTCTTCTTTCAGCATATACTAAAAAAATATTTGTACATCATTGAATTAGATTATATATATATTCTATTAAAGATCCAAGAATATTATTATTTTAGATCCAATGAGTGTACGTTCAATCTTTCATCAATTAAATTCAATTATATTAAATTTCGTAAATCATTCAGTAGTTGTACGATTATAAAAATATGACTGGCAAATTAGATACTTAGTTATAGTTAGCAATTATTACACAGGCCAGAAATGAATGAACGAAACGAAAACTGAGGAAATCTAACAAGGTGTTAAAAAATTTCTCGTTTCGGAATTAAGTAGGATCGTTAGGGCGGCGTTCACGAGGAATTCAAGCCTCGGTGCTTTCCCACAGTTTATATAGGAAATGTACGCTCGTTCTGCTAATTGACGGTCAAACACGTTTTAGCACGCAATCGTCGTGTTTTAAACCCAACTTTCGACGTTCTATCCTCGATGTTGCCCGTATCTACTGTTGCATTGAAGGAACGTAACGTTCAAATTTTAAAAACAGCAAAATTGTATCAAATCACCTCTGCACTGTTTTTTAAATCGTTCAATTTAAATTCTAATCGTCTTTGTTAAGGAAGAAACGATGACGAGTTCGAAAAGTATTCAATATTCAGAAGGCGAGGGGAACGAAATTTCATTTGAACGTTGATAAAATTGAAGAATATTTAATGATGATGAGGAAAACGGAACGATTGTACGATCTAAGATCACAATTAAGACATTAATTCGTTAAGAAAATGTAAATTAAAAATTGTAAAATTTATAACTCGTGTCATAATTTTTTTTTATGATTATATATACATCTTTTTCATTTCTTTTTTCCCGAGTGTTTGTTTTTCATTGTTGTTCAAAGAAATTATCAAATCGATAGTTGTATCGATGATAATGACGATGATGATCGCTATTGAATTACAAATATTTTGTAATAAGATAGTCATAACTCGGTCGCGATTACTCGACGATGGAGCTGATTATTCGATGAAAGATAATCAGGCCTTGAGATAATAATTATTTAGAATACATAATCTAGAGATATATTTCTTCTTCTTCCTTTCAATTTTATTCTCTTATATAACTTAATTGCATTTCAATTTCAACAAATTAAAATTTTCTCCAAAAAACTGTTCGCTATATTCACAATTTGAAAAACGGACAACCAAGCCGAAAGATTTTCGTCGATGACGATTCGTATTGTTGCGTTTGCAAGTGTTTGCACTTGAAACTGCAAACTTAAGTACACTTTGTATGCTAGATTGTACGCGCTTATCTGAAAAAGGAATAGTCATCGTTCCGTTTTCATTTTCCCTTCTTATCTTTTTTTTTTTTTTCATTCCATTGTTCTTCTTTTTCCTCTTTTGTCAAGTATATCGCGAGCTACTGTGTTGCAATTGAAAATTTGAACGAAAGTCGGGTGTTTTTCCTATTATCACGAGCAAACACCGATACGATCCAGATTATTATTCGTAACAATTACTCGGATACGTAGTAGATATGTTTTATCGCGTACGACCAATTAATACCAGACGTTTCTCTGCCAATTTATTGTAGACGTAGTGATACACGTATCATCGAGAATTTTTCTTTTTCGAAAGAAATCAGTTCTTTCTGGGTTAGATCTTTTTCCCGATTTAAATTTCGCGCCAAAATTCTCTTTTGTAAATCTATCCTCTGATTTATCATCGTTTACCAACAATCGTTTCTATTTTATTTTTTATTATTATTATTATTATTTGTATGAGAATCAAAGCATCTTGTATCAAAAAAATGCTTCTATTTACAATAAAATTAAAAATTATTTATTATCTTCTCTTTAAGAAATCTTCAAATCTAGCTATTCAAATATTATATTTTTCTTAATTTATATTCCATTATATTCGTTCAAAAATAAAATAATAAAAAAAAAATAAAAATATTCAGAATTGCTAATAATTTTATTTTGTTCATATACATATATATATATATGTATATACAAGGAAATTTACAATGAGTAACTTTGTTTCCGCATTAGAAACCCACCACGTCTCTCGTTGTTTTAAGGGTTAATTAAATTCGAAGTTATACTAGATTCGTGTTATTTTAATACGTATTTGTGCTCGAGATCGCAAAATGATAAAGGGAATTAGGAATCTAATTCTAGGAATCTAAGCTCTCTAGACTGTATAATTTAAAACCGTATAAATCGATGCGACATTTCTATGTACTTAAGAAACGTTTTACTTATCTTCAAACTTAACTTCTATCTCGGTATCTCGGTTCCTTTATACAAGACCGAAGCGGTAAAGAATTCCGGCCCTCGATAAGATTGCATTACCTGGCTGATTGCATACATCTATATACGCGCCACAAATTTTCTGTTCCACCGAGCTACGTCTTACTATCGTACGATTTAATTATCTTCGTTATCAGTTTTTCGAAAGTCATTTTTATCTCGAAAAAAATTAAATCTTTAATTATCTATGGAAATCACCATGGGAATATAATAAACTGCATCTTTGATATTAAAGTTAACTGACTATATAATATATCTATATGTATGAAAATATAATATATTATAAAAATGCTATTTGTCAATCGATCAATTTAATTGGAAAGTTTTGGAAAAAATGTTATGAGATAAAATTATTAATCCAGTGATTAATCCTTGATAATGGATTTAATATATAAAACTATCTACTTCGTACATTGTGTATTGATTTAACATTTGAATTATATAAAGAATATCAAAAAAGTGGAAGTAGTAAATATTATTATTGTATTTTCACTATATATAAAGAGTGAAGTTGAATGAAACGATCGAGTATATTCTATTAAATATAGCTCGAATAGTTTCGTTGTAGATAAATGAAACAATTCACGTGTCTTCTATTTCAAAATACGAAATTCACGTCACTGATAGAATGACACGTCACATCAAAAGATCAACGTCACTACTTTGAACGTTAAATTTATGTTATAAAATTATTAGATTGAACGTCATTAATTGTTAACGTTTGCCAAGATTAATTTGATACATCGGCAGACGTCGTAGACATAAGTGAAAATATTAAAGCATTTTATATCTCTTGATAATTAAATTAGTTCTTTTCGAACAATTTAGAAGAGTATTTAAAAAAATCAAATAATTTTAATTGCAAATAATACATCTAATTATTTTTCTTTTTTATTTATCCATTTATTATCCATATTGAAAAATGAAGAAAACATGCATGTTCTCAATTGCAATCTTAATTTAATTTTTTATTAGTTTGATATATAATTAGTTAGTTAGATGTATAATTAAAATTTTAGATAAAATTTCGTTCTAATAATTCACGATAAATGCTGGTTTCTTTATTTTAAATTGCAGATCTTCTCAAAGTCTCAATATGTATGTACTGTATACACATTTATGATATGGATTGCTTGTCACTGATCGTTAAATTTCTTTGTTCATAAAATACAAAGTATCTTATAAAGTGAATATGAAAGTGTTACGCGATATCATTATTATTATCGTTCCGTGATAAGATCACGTTTCGTTGCAAGAAGTTTCATTGGAGAACGTTTCATCTTTTTATCTACATAATAATATTTATAATGAAAACTTGATTATTATTAATATAACATATTAAATTTTATGACTTTTCTCGCATCAATTGAAACAATATTCTTATAAATTTTTAAATTTTTAAAAGAATTAACAAATATTCGATTAGCATCTAGCTATGAATAAACTTGATGTGTATAATGATTCACGAAGGTTGTTAATGTTATGGAATGGAATTCTTTTCATGAAAAATTGTAACAAGTGTTTCGACAGTAATGTAAATTATGTATATTATATATATATAGTTACAATGTATTAAATTTTCAAGTCTTTAAGGAATATGAGTCTTGTTAGCACAGACATAGTGTAATTGTTGTTCAAAAAAAAAAAAAAATAATAATAAATAGTAAGTTCTTTTCAAAAATAGTTCTTTATATAACACGATATAATAGAAAATATGCAAAAATAATTTTGAAAATAAAATTCGTTAATACAAACTGTTAGATAATTTCTGATATAATGAAAAATAAGGTATTGAAATAAATTTTATTACAAATCAATGATTCTCAATCTTTTTCGAAGATATTTTTGATTGTAACAAAAATTTGCATGCATGAATATTAGAGACGACTTTTTTTTAGTTTAGATTTACTCTTTATCCTTGCGACGTTCATAAAGTTTTACTTCGATCAATTATCGATACAAACAGATTTTTCATTTACTATATTTATATTAATAAAATATTTTTTAAACTGTTTTTTTTTACGTGATAGATAGATATCTATTAATCAATCATATTTTATGATAATTCAAAATAAATTCCATCATTTTAATCAGATAGATTGATAGAAATTATATCAGATTATCAAAGTTCCATCCATGTTTTGGTAAGTTATCAAGAAATTAATTAAAAAATTTTTTTACAACTCGATACCAATATATTAGTCTTGATAAGATTTAGTGAAGTGGAAGTAATTGTAATCGTAATGAGAAATCTCTAAGCAGAAATTATCTAACATAGAATTGAGGAGTACACCTGTGTTTGATAGTAATTTAATGAGATTAGCCATGAGAACGTAGTCATAATTGATTTGGATTATGAGAGGAAGATTATGATCACCTTGAATTTTATACTTTATTGCTTTTCTCCTTCATTCCAAATTCTTATGTAAGCTCATAGTTAAGGATTACATATTTGCATTTATTTTTTTTAAGAATCTTTTTCGTCGATGAAAACGTATGTTATTATAAATTTTTCTCTTTTCGTCGATCCTCATATCTGTCATGTATATGTTAGCTGTACTTTGAAATTATTGTTCTAAAAGATGTTGTCAATAGCTTTTACGTAAACAATCTTGATTGTGGATAATCAAGGAATGTTATCACGTCAATAGTAAATTGATAAAAAGAATGAAAAACATAAAAAAATAAACAAAAAAGAGTGGATAGAAGAGACAATGTGTATGGTTGGAATATATATATATATATGAAGAAAGAATGTATGAATATGTAAAAAAAAAAAATTTATGATAATTAATATGCATAGTGTTGCATTTGAATAAATTGATATGTGATAACCGACAGATAATAATTATTTTTCTTATCAATGAGTAACGTTATCAAGTTATGAATTCTTGAGAATAAAACTTCTTAGATTTCACTCATAAGCGATTTTTAAAGGATTAATCAGAATTAATTTAGAATTAATATTTATATTAATTTGATTTGATTGCATATTGGTTATATACAAAAGTGATTATGTAGATTGTATATCTTCATAAAAATATAAATTTGAATAAATTTAATCTCATGTAACCTTATGTGTAATTTATGTTTTCTCTTGTGCTCTAATCACTAACTTTCTCTTATTTAACTTTAATTAGGAAGTTATTGGTTCACCTTTAGAAATTCTCACTTTTACATATGTATATGTGCATGTATATGCACATATGGTCATAATTAGTTAGTTATTAGTCGTATTAGCATTCATGTTTTTTTAAAAATTTATTTAATTTTTCTAATTTTCACTTTTTATACGTTATATGATAGATATTATATTTTCTGTATCAGTTTTTTAAACGATATCTCTTATATTTTTTAACAATTTTTATAGAATTTATATGTTTCAAACGAATTCATATCTTTGATATCAAAAAAAGATTAAAAGATGATTTCTCCAAATCAAAATGAAATGAAAAATAAATTGCATTTTGGATTAAATTTTTTATTATTATTAAAAATCGAGCTAAAATATTAGAATGTGAGTAAATCTCCCTACACGAACGAATGTAAATTATCTCAAGTTTTAAATAATAATCATTCGTTATTATGCAACTTTTTCCACTTATTTCAAAATTTTCCATTATATCTTAATAATAACAATTCCTTTTTTTATTACAGGACAAAACGTAACTCGCCTTCAGAATGGGGGCGATGTTCAGGAGCGAGCAGATGGCGCTCTGCCAGCTGTTCATTCAGCCAGAGGCGGCCTATCTTTCTGTTTCCGAGCTTGGAGAAACGGGCACGGTGCAGTTTCGTGATGTAAGTTATTATTGTAATCTTTTTCATATTTCCTGATATCTACAATCTTTGAGAATGCACAGATATAATTATTGTAATTATTTCGAACTCGAAAGATGTTGACCTTGTAGCGCCATCATGTTTGATTCCTTATTATTAGAATGGTATCTTCGATATGTCTAGGATAAAAGAAAAAGATGAATCTAAAAGATAAAATGCAATTTTGAAAGCTATTTATTCCAAAAGATTTTGGAAAAAACTATTAATAATTGTTTACTTTTGCGAAGTAACTTTTCTCGATACGGAATATAATTTATATAATATTAAATAATTATTAATAGATTTCTATGCAAAATACAATTTTTATCTTTATTTGAACCAAAGAAATGAAATTTAAATAGCGATATTTACACTTTGTAAAAGTGCTTAAACATTTATAATTTAATTAGTAAATAATTAAATGATAAATATATTGCTTTAACGAAACAATTCTCAAATTGTAGAACATTACGTTCTTTTTATTTCCAAAAAAAAAGGAAAAAATACGTTTTTATTAATAATTGAAAAAAAAAAGAATTTATTTTTAAAATATTTGGTCCTGAAAAATAAATACGTTAGATCTTGTTCCTACGTCTTTCAGTTGAATTGTAAGGCAAAAAATTGTAAAGCAAAAGGTTCACAGTTTCCTTGAAAGTTAGTCCGCATGGTGGTATCTGGCCTAGAAATTATCATTAATGTCCATGACATAACAACTGATATAAGCGATTTTATGCGTGTCGGGTTCATACGCGGCCTTAACGCATCCTCGATCGTGAATCACGATGAATCATTTCCATTGATTCGAATCAACTGTTCAAGGCCGATCGTAAGTTCGAGTCGGCGAAATCGGTGCCGATCATATTTATTCAGACCGAGATTTAATTTCCAGGGGAATGAAAAACCGAGGATCAGTGCTCGTTTAACGATGTTTTTTATTTTATTGTCGATTCGTTCGTAGCTCAACGGCGATGTGAATTATTTTCAACGGAAGTTCGTGAACGAGGTGCGTCGATGCGACGAGATGGAGAGGAAACTTCGATACATCGAGGCCGAGGTGAGGAAAGACGGAGTGCCGATCGTCGACAACCTCGCGGAACTACCACGGGCACCGAATCCGCGTATGATCATAGATCTCGAGGTAAGATTCTTTATCGCGTAATTCTTTTTTTTCTTTCTTTCTTTCTCAATATTTCAAGAAGAATCGAGTAGAAATTTTTATTCTTTGCACTCGATATTTTAAAACAAGAAAGATTTATTTTACTCTTCTATCTAATGTTCTATTTTTATTATTTTTTGTAAAGTCTAAATCTAATTAAAGTCTAGTTTAATTTTAACTTCTTTCGTGATATTCATACTATTGATTTATATTGAAAATTAACCAAAATTTCCATTAAAAGTGTAAGAATTTTAAAGAAATGAGAATGTTAATTAAAATCCACTTTATATCCACTTATATCAATTGTCATTATCCATGGATCGAGAACCCGTGTGTATTAAGTGAAATTAAAACAGGTGCGATTGAAATATGGTCGTGGTGTTTCAGGCCCATCTCGAGGAAACGGAGAACGACATATTAGAGCTGAGCCAAAACGCGGTGAACCTGAAGAGTAACTACCTCGAGTTGACGGAATTACGGCATGTGCTCGAGAAGACCCAAGTATTTTTCACGGAGGTAGCTAAAGTAGTTCAGCAGCTTTTGCTCATAGCGTCGTCCTCCTTCGTGTAATCGATGTTACCGTTCTGTCGAAGAATCAAGATTCGTATCTTCTTCTATATCAACAGGAAGAGGCCAATGACTCGATCACCAGGACGCTAATAAACGAGGAACCACAGAATCCGAACACGACGATTAGGGGACGTCTTGAGTATGTTTTACGATATGCAGATACACGCGTATTTATATGCAAATTTATATTTCATAAAAAAGATAACCAAGTTGTGGAATCTGTGGAATTAAAATGGAATTTAATTCTGGGAAGAGATCCGGTTTTATTACAAATCCAGGAGTTGGCCGAGTTAATCCCTGAACGTGTGATAACGTTAGATCAGTGTTCCTCTATCTTTTCAGAGATACGACATTTCTTTATAATAGCCAAATAATCTGGTATATTCTTTTTTCTCATAATTAAATGAAAATGTATTTCAAATTTTGTCAAATCTCTTTAAAATAATTGAGTTTGATTCTTCTTCTTGATGTTGGTTTTTCAATAGAAAGATAGGAGATCTTGATGCAATTTTAAATGTTATTTATTTATTGTAAATTTTATTGCATTCAAACTTTTATATATTTTGATAACAGTTGTCCAATTTTGTACAATTCTCTTTGTACAAAGTTAAAATGATATTTTATATATCATTTTAAAGGATTATTAAATTTGATATTCTTCAAGATTATATATTAATTTACTGAGAATGTTTTTTTTTTTTTAATCTTTTGCTTTATCAGATGAAATTTTATTTTTGTAGATTCGTTGCTGGGGTAATAAACCGGGAACGAGTACCAGCTTTCGAGAGAATGTTGTGGCGAATATCCCGTGGAAATGTGTTTCTGCGCCAGGCTGAGCTTGACAAACCATTAGAAGATCCAGCTACTGTTAGTTTACTTCCTATCTTTTTTTCTACTTACTTCATTTTTAAAACTAAAAAAAAAAAAAAACAAATTAATCGATTTTTTTCTTATCTAGCTTATGAGATTATAAAAATTATCGATCGCTTACATAGATTTAATTTTATTAATCTATTTTTGTTGTGTCTGTTTTCTCATTATTGTTATATCTATCTCTAAAATAACATACACAAGGATTCGAAGAATTTGGTAAGATATTAATCTTAATATTATGATTTTTAGTGTTAATATTATTATTAGATGCTAAGTAGAAATTCTAATTTTTAATTTTTAATTTCGTTCGTGATTAATTCTTTTTTTCAAAGAATTCAATGATTATTCGTTAGATTCCTTATTTTGTAGATTTTTTTTGTACTTTGTTTTCTCAAATTCAAAAGAATCTCTCGTATTAAAATATGATATAAATTTAAATTTCGGTTTTAAAATAATTTTTAATACATCTTTAAATTATTATTTTTATGGATTTTCCATTATCTTAATCCCTTTTATTTTTTTTTTTTTATATATTATTTTTCTAATATTATTATTACATTGATTAGGAGCATATGTATCTATTATCTTTTTTATCTCTATTTTTTTTTTTTATTAAGAAACAACTTTCCATAAGATTTAATTGTAGCATAAACGTTATCATTTTACATCGCTTTAATAAAAAACGAAAAGGAAAGTCAGATAACAAGACTAATAAAAGTTAAATATAATATAATACATATAAATATAAATACAAATAATGATTTGATTTATTTAATTTAGAATTTAATTTTAAATTAATTTAATTTCTCACAGTAGATTTAAAAATTTTAAACTTTACCGAATTATATTATTTTTTTATTATATATAGAATCATATTTATTTTATATTTTTATTTATATTCGAGTATTCGAGCTTATTTTTCTTTGTTCCGATTAGATTATTGAAATTAAAAAAAATTTATGATAAATCACTATAATTCCAAAGATAATAAATTCCGATCAATTGATAAAAAAAAACCATTAGAAGAGGAAAATCTTACGATCTTTGAAGATTCTTTCTCATCTTATCTCGATACTAGCTCCAGAGATATCGCTGTTCAAAGAATAATTTTTAATCGTTTTATTATCCTACTTATCCTCGAGACAAGCGACAGACGCGATCTTTGAAAAAATGTAATACGCATTTTCAAGAAAAAAATCAATGAGTGACGAATAATCATTTCATAATCCGTCTCACGCTGTTAAAAACTGAAAAACTTTAAACTTTGAGTCCTTATATCTGGACGATCGATTGAGATGTAAGGATAAGACAAAAAGGGATTTTTTTTTTTGGATTAAATGGCATGCATTTTCCTCCATTTCTCGAGTAGATTTTGACGACAAAATTTTCTTTGTTTCTTTTCTTGTTTTTTTTTTTTTTTTTTTTTTTTTTTTTTTTTTTTTTTTTTTTTAATAAATGAAATATATAATCGATATATTACGTTTGATCTCTTGTTGGATAAGTTTTGCGGATTGTTTTAGGGCAATCAGATATTTAAAACGGTGTTCGTCGCATTTTTCCAAGGAGAACAGCTGAAGAGCCGCATAAGAAAAGTCTGCACCGGTTTCCACGCCTCTTTGTATCCATGCCCGCATAGCCACGCGGAACGTCAAGAAATGGTCAAAGGCGTTCGAACGAGACTGGAAGATTTAAACTTGGTGAGAAAGAACTTATACACAGAAGAGAATCGCGTGTATTATTAATTACGTAATCAGTTTCTTCTTCCTTGTTACTTCCTCCTTTTTATTGGAATATGTTGTACATAGTATCTCAAGTGCTTATTAGAGAAAATGATAGTTAAAAAAAATTATGAAATCATTTCAGTATATATTAAATTTCATTTCATTCACTTTGTACATCTGTTTTCTGATTATTGAAACGGATCAATTATTGAACAAGTCATTGAAATGATCTCCTCTCTTTTTCACTTTACAGGTTTTGAATCAAACGCACGATCATCGTCAACGCGTTTTACACAACGTAGCCAAGGAATTGCCCAATTGGGGTATCATGGTTCGAAAGATGAAGGCGATTTATCACACGATGAATCTGTTCAACGTTGACGTAACAAAAAAGTGCCTTATAGGAGAATGTTGGGTACCTGTATCGGATCTTACCATCGTTAGAGACTGCCTTAACGAAGGATCGGTTGGTTCTTCAAATTTCACTTCTTTTTTTTTTTTTTTATTTACAAACATCAATCATTTATTGTAATCAGTTGATATATTAAAAAGAGTACAATTATCTCTAACTTTTTAATCCAAAAATGTAAAAAAAGCGAATAGTTGAATCTTGAAAGATTTCCTTCGCTTCCTGTTTTTCGAAGATGAAAATAGAAAATCAAAAATTAATATTTCCTTTACTTTGTTTAGCGTCTCTGCGGTAGTTCGATACCATCTTTCCTCAATGTTATCTACACGAACGAAAACCCTCCGACGTTTAACAGGACGAACAAGTTCACCAGAGGTTTTCAAAACTTGATCGACGCGTATGGCGTGGCATCGTATCGCGAAGCTAATCCAGCCCTTTATACGATTATCACTTTCCCCTTTCTATTTAGCATCATGTTCGGCGATTTTGGACATGGTAAGTGAATAACAAATTCATCACAATTTGTTTCGAAATTTTATTTTATCATTTTTGGGTGTGACAGACTTTCATAATCAAATTCTTAATTTAAGATTTTCGAAAATGAAAACAGTAAAATTTAAGTGAAATAACAATTTACAAATAAATTATTGTTTTTGTAAATATTTTTGTGTAAAGATTACTCGCTTACTTATTTCGTATTATTATATTTATATGCGTAATTATTTGTTTAGGTATAATTATGACTCTGTTCGCTCTGTTTATGATCGTGAAGGAGAAGAAGTTTATGGCTGAAAAAACAACGAACGAAATTTGGAATATATTTTTCGCCGGACGTTACATTATACTTCTCATGGGTTTGTTTTCCATTTACACTGGCATCATCTATAATGACGTATTCTCAAGATCAATAAACATATTCGGGTCTAGTTGGGACATACGGTTCGACAATAAAACAATCATGACTAATGAGCTTATGGAATTGGACCCGGCTAAAAAAGATTACAAACAATACCCTTATCCATTGGGTATGGATCCAGTTTGGGTGCTTGCCGAGAACAAGATCATATTCTTAAATTCGTACAAAATGAAGCTGTCCATCATCTTCGGTGTCGTGCATATGATATTTGGCGTGTTCATGAGTACCATTAATATTATGTAGGTTTTTAGAAACGTATATAACTTCAATCTGTATAATATAAACTCTGCTCTCATCATCATTTTTTTTTTTCCACTTAATGAATTGATACAAATTGAAATTATTGAATTAAATATAAAAAGGGTTGTATTCTTATTGTATTCCTTTTTTTTTTTTTTTCTTGAAACCAAGAAGCAACGTTTTCGACGATCAAAGGATCATATTCTTAAAAATTTTACGATACTTTTCGATTACAATCCTTTTTCTCATTTCCATTCGTTCGACTCTCTTTTCATCTTTTCTTTCCGTCAATCGATCGTTCAATCATTCGTTCAATGCAATTTTGTTTATAAAAAATAATTTCTATATTTCTCTGTAGACATTTCAAGAAATACTCGAGCCTTTTCTTAGAATTCTTGCCACAACTGCTTTTCCTTATTGTATTATTTCTCTACCTGGTAGTCTTAATGTTTGTTAAATGGGTTTTATATAGTCCCACCTCGCCAGGTACGTATCGTAATATCCGAGTTTAATTATCCAATTTTTCGATCAGATGAAATTTAACGATATTTCACCATGTTTTATAGACATGGCGTATACTCCTGGCTGTGCACCATCGATATTGATCACGTTTATTAATATGATATTGCGGGGTCATAGCCAAGTGCGAGAAGGTTGTTCAGAGTATATGTTTCCGGGCCAGACCACTCTTCAGCTTGCTTGTGTCATAATTGCCGCGTTATGCGTGCCCGTCATGCTGTTTGGAAAACCACTTTTTTTCTTATTGCACAAAAAAAACGTAGAGACGGGGAAAGTCCTGGTAAATAATTCTCAACTTCCTACTTGTTATCCGTCGCATTTCGTTTTATCCGAAACGTAAAACTTTTAACAATAAACTTATATAAATGCGAAGCACGCGTTAAGTGCTTAAAAAAAAAAAAAAAAAAAAAAAAAGAAAACACGTAAATCTATTTTAAAAATAAATTTCACTAGCACAAGTAAATGTATTTTTATTTTAACGCATTTAAATATTTATTATTAGATTTTTCATAGAATATAACGCGATATAATAATACAAAGATTTTTATCGTAAAACAAATTTTTATGCTTGCTTTCTACGTCTTTGTCATTCGTCGATTAATTTTTCCCCCTCTTCCATTCCTTCGTTCATGTTTCAGAGTGATGGAATCGCGTCCCAAGATATTGAATTGCAAACTAAAGGGTTGCAAAATAACCCGTCGACCAGCGGGGCAACCGATGAACACGAAGACGAGTCGTTCGGTGAAATAATGATACACCAGGCAATTCACACTATTGAATACGTTCTCTCAACGATATCACACACTGCCTCTTACCTACGTTTGTGGGCTTTGTCGTTGGCCCACGGACAACTTTCCGAAGTTTTGTGGTCGATGGTTCTACGCAAGGGTTTACTCGCTGCCGAGGGTAATTATATATCGGCCATCATGTTATTTTTCGTGTTCGCCGCGTGGGCCTCTTTCACCGTTGCCATTCTTGTCATGATGGAAGGCCTGTCAGCCTTCCTTCACACGCTTCGACTTCACTGGTACGTAGAAAAAAAAAAAGAAAAATTAAACGCGAATACGATTCGTTTAAGGAATAGAACGATTGTGAAATATATTTTATTTTATACGCGCATGGAATAATTGTACATACACAAAACATACACAAAACATACGAAAATTGATTTTTCCAGAATTAATGTAGATATTAATGTTTTTTTTTGTTTAAATTAAATGGATCGTACAATTTTTTTTGAGATTCGTTTTACTTACTTTTCTCGATATATTAAAATAATATTAATTTAAAACGAAATGGAAATGATTATGCAATATTAATATTTTATAGATATAGCAATAGATATACAATAAGAATGACGGATAAAAATTATTTATTAATTAAATATCATAATATTTTAGTTTAAAATTTCTAGAACAGTTTAGTTTATTTATGTTATTCATTTTTTCAAATATTTTTCACTTGTTCCTTGTTTCTTCTTTTCTTCCAGGGTGGAGTTTATGAGCAAATTCTACGATGGCCAAGGTTATCCTTTTCAACCATTTTGTTTTAAATCTATTCTAGATGCCGAAGATTCCGAAGACTAGACTACTGCTGTGATCCTCAGCAATAATTATAATTAGATATATCTATCGTGTTAAACGGAAAGACTTGTTTTTATTTTATAAACAAATTAACAAATATCGAACGAATTATATACATTGGAAGGATATGTTTTTGAAAATTTTTAAACTAAGTATTTTTGACGAAAAAAATTTCTTTACACTTAACCAGATTGTGCTTATATAAAATATCATTGCAAGAGAAATTTTTAATCGAAGATATTTGTATCCTTTTTAATTCAAACAAGATAAATTTTTAGATAATCGTTAGGTTAACAATATTCGATGTGTCTCGTATCGATTGTAGAAATTTATTAATACGATAAGCTTTCGATATCTTTTTTGAAGATATATTCTTTTTTCGAAATTAATTGCTTTCGAAACTTATTATATTATCATATGTACTTGGTGTACGTTGAAAAATAATGATGCCTATGTTAAATTTTTATGTAAATGATAGAACGAAACATTAAGAGATAATGAAAATGTTTTAAACAAATATAACGTTTTTTTAAAAATTATATAAGAAATATTTATTAGTTAATCAATTTCCAATGTTTTTTTAATACACGATTTTTCCTATAATTTTTTTTAACACGATTAAAGGCACATGAAAATTGTAAACCAGATAAAACTAGTAAGTTCCCCGAATTAAGAATATTATTCTCTGATTTGTTTTAAACGAACATATCGTCGATAAGTACACATCTCGTTCATTCCATTCTTCATTGTCGAAATGTGACACTACGATAAAAGTATAATATGATAATTTACCATATTATATTTGCATATTATTATACTAGGATTATTATGTAGAGAGAAAGAGAGGAAAGAAAATAAAGGAGGAGAAAGATAAAAATTTGAGAAGGATGGCGGGAATGTACATTCTATGTTACTAGAGTACAAATTATCGAAAGTGATTGCGAAAAGTATTCATCTTGAAACTAATAAGAAGTGGTGTCGTTAGAGATGTATCCAATATAGATATTAATGTAATATCTGAAAACAGTGCGATGCAAATATATATAAAAATATATTTTACCAATATCTTCACGTTGCATTGATTTAACTTTTATACATTTCCTGCTCAGACGTAAAAACTACCCAATAACTTTCAATAAATATGGATTAATTTCTCTTTGAAAAATTCGAAAAATTATATTGATTTATATGAATACATTGATATGTTATTATATTATTTATAAATATAATGAAAGAATATTTGTTTGTTAAATTTATATATAACAAGATTTATAATTTTCATTATTTTTTTTTTTTTTAACGAATAGTAGTTTTTAGAAACATCCATGCTGTTCAAGCTTCGATGCTTTTAACCCTCCAATCATTCACCCCAGATTCTTTGATACGCATCCTTTCTGTACACTTGAAGGGTTGCTAATGAAACAGTGGAAACCAGATGCTCGAAGCTTGCAGTTCAACCAATAGATAATCAAACGTATGTATTTTTCAGATTCCAATTTGTACTTCATTTTTTTTTTTTATTAATCAACAATTTTTATTTCGAGAACTCGTTTACATGGCACAGATAAATGAGAAGATCATTTTGGATTGTACTTTTGTATAAAATTTCCTAAAATTATTCCTTTATTACTTATTTTATTATTCTGAAAACAAAACATCTCATCTTCCTTATCTTTTCCATTTCATCCATTTCCTTTTAATTCAATCTAAGTTCCAACTACCTCAAAACCTTCTACTCCAAAAACAAAAAAGACATCTTTTTACCTTTCTCCACTTCATCCCTTCTCTTCATTCGATTATATTACGAAATTTATCGTATTATATCACGAAATTTCGATTGATTCGTATGAAATTGATCGTCCAAAGGTTTCACGTAAAATTCCAAATATATCTCACTCCAAAAGATCCTCTAAAAAGACTACTACAAAAAGAACGTCTCACCTCTATCCACTTCGTTTCCATTCGTTTGCACTCGGTTGATCAGGGCGAAATTTTGAACGGCTCCTCTCAGGAAGAAAGCAACAGAGAGGATTTTCCATCGGCATGGCATCGGGAGAAGCCCGAGGGAGTTGCGCGCGCTTGTGCAACGATTTTCCGCACCTCAATCGGCGAGCGTAGGTTCAGTCGGTGTGACGCGTTCGTGAACGGTGCGCGGCCACCACGCGCCTCTCATCCGTTTGGCGTGGCTCGACGCGTGTTTATCTCGACTACACAGGTGAGTATACACTGTCACACGTGTGCACACGCACCATTTGATCCTCGCCAAATTTCATCGACCGGTGTCGTAATCCCGTTTCTCTACGCATTCTTCAATTTTCCGTGGAAAATTAATTTTTGGCGCGAGTGTTCGAGAGATTTTAATCGAATTTTGAATGGATTTGCAACTCGTGCAAGACTTTCAAAGAAATGGTTTTTAAACGAAGAAGAAATTTTTTTTATTTGCGATACCGTGGCTCGTTTATTTTCGTGCATTTCGTATCACGTATTCTATAAATTTTTCTACATTCGAATTTTGTGGTAAAAACGTGAAAATTTCTTTAATACGAATTTATTGAAAATTGACGATTATAATCTGATTATAATACGAAGTAAATTTTGATGGAAAAATTCTTCAGTGGTGAAATCAAAGTTTCAGTTTTTATTTGTGTGTGTTCTGAAATATAATTTCATTTGAGATTATTTTTTTTTTTAGCAGATATGCATGATACAGAAACTTGACTGGTATTAAAATTTTTTTCTATCTGCTGAAATGAATTGGACGAAAAGCAAATGAAATTTTAACCGTTGATTTCACTCTCTTGAATTTTGCTGAAACAAATTGCATCGTGTACATATAATTCATTACGTTTTACGTATTCATAAAATTTTATTAAAAACAGAAATCTGGTAATACAATTTGTATAATACAATAAATGAATTTACATAAGTTATTTAGAATTTCTTCGAGTTGAATATTTTATATTATTATTTTATTTTGGAAGAAGAATTTCATCGAATTAATTTGAATTTAGTAAAATTAATTTTGTTATGCGATTTGTTATGCATGTCTCGAGAACTCGTTTAATTTTTAAATAAAGGAATCGATCTGAAATTATTTATCATATTAATTAGAGGAATATAAATAAAAATAGAATGATGTTCGAATATCAAATAGATTTTATTCTTGACGATCAGTATATAAATATGTGATTTTAATTTTACACGCTATACATGGAATGACGCTTACACTCGCGAATAAATAGAAATTTCTAAGTTTTGTTTAAGTTCTGTTTAGTCAACGTGCCTCGCATAATTAGCACGATAACCTTCGAAACATATTGAGAATACAAATGAAATATGTTCTTCTTTAAACGAAATTTCATTTTAAAAATATTTCAACAATCATTTGGTTATTTCGTATTATTTTTCATTATACTACTATTTCTTAAAATTACAACGTTAAAAATTTTAAACAATAAAATGGAACATTGAATATTTCTTTCTATTTGGAAAATAGATAATATTTTAAAAGATAACGATAAAATTCTAATACATAATATTGAATAAGCTAAAAATAGAACTTAACTTTTCAAATTTTGAAATTTATTTATTTATTAAAATTAGGCAAAAAATTATTTTATAGATTTTTACAATACATTTAGTTAGTAAATGAACTAAAATTTGAAGCACATCATAAATACTAGAAATAACAATTTTTGAATTCTTTAAATGAATCAGATTTCCATCCCCATACATTTTAAAATTTCCTATGAATGAAAAATTTCCAATAGCACGACGTTAAACGATAAATATAAGATAATTTTCGTTCGAATCTTCTATTTTATTATAAAACAATCGAAATTCGAAATAAATTCAGGGAAATATTATCAACGTTTGATATCGTGGACTTGGGTCGTTCACCTTTAAACAGATACTCCGACGTGAGATAGTGAAGGATTTTCATATACAGGGTGCAGTCAAAAATAATGGCACAAAAAGACAGGAAGCGATTTCCTATGTAAAAATTAATCGAAAATTAATCGAAGTGAAATTTCTTTTCTTTCCTTATTAAGAGCTTTCCATATTGATGTCACTTCCTGTATTGTTGTACAATATTTTTCGTCGCACCTTGTATGCGTGCAATGAGATTATACAGTTCGCAAAGGAGCAAGTTAGACTTCCTAACTTGTTCTCTTGTACATTAAACGTACATTATACATAAAATCATCAACATAGTATTAAAATTATTATTATTTTTAATTATACTATTAATTATAATAAAATTAAAAGTATTATTTTGATAAAATTATGAATACTATTTTTTAAACTTATTATTAAATCTAAATCAAATATTCTAGTTGAAAAATTAATTGGAGTGTGCAATGTATTTCTGTGGAAAATGGGGAATCTTGAAAGAAAAAAAGCTTTGATTTGTTTTTGTTTCGTGTCTCAGAAAGTCAATTATTTATGTAGGATTGTCAATTTTTTTATTATTATTTTGTACAGTAATTGTGGTTTCTTAAAATCCTTCTTTTCTTACATTTTTTATCATTTAAATAACATCCATACAAAACAACTTCGAGAATGAAATTTCCACAATTTTCTACGACTTTTACCGCGATAAAAAAAGTTTACTGTATTGTTCTTCATTGTGATGTCGTGTTGTTCTTACTAAGTTGTGAGAAGAAAATTATTCCTTTTTCCCTACTATTTTTTATTTCTTTTTAATAGTTCCAACGCGTGAAATTTCACTAAAAAAAAAAAAAAAAAAAAAGAAAGAAAGAAAGAAAGAAAGAAAGAAAGAAAAAAAGAAAGAAAGAAAGAAAAAAAGTATTTTTACTTTTATATAGAATATTTTTCAAAGTTTTCACTCTTTTTCTTTTAACATATATTATTAAGATTTATTATTCTGATGCGGAAGAAGGAAGGAAGAAGGAAATGGTGTAGAAATATTTTTTTTATAGGTTGGATGCAGTGATTAATTTCGAATATCTCGTTATGGTAATTACACACGTATCTCGTATCTATCGTTTCAGCAATGCGTGATATATCCTAACATAAAATTGGCTTAATGTAACGCGAAGAAGTTTATAGTTACAGTAAAATATAGCAATGATGACTAGAGAATAAAACTGAAACTTAATGACTTGTGCTTGCATAAGCTGTCATTCTTTTATTAACTTAATGGATTGGATTAATTCATTGAAGTATAAATTCCATAAAATAATGTTTAGACGATAATTTTGATACTTTTGACAATTTAATGAATTTCAGTTGAATATATTTTACCAATAAATATTAAATTAAAACTAAAAATAATTTGAAATATAATATATGGATTTAAAAATAAGAAATAAGCAAGAATATAATATACGAAAGGAACAAACTACAAATTATTTTTAAATTATTTGGTTTATTATGTAAAAAATTAGAAGATTAATAAAAAATATAAAAATTGTTTTAATTAAAAAAAAAATCTTTTCATTTGTTCTTCATGCATATTAATAAAATCTTTAATAACATAATAATGAGATAATAAAAATAATTAATTAAAATTTAATAACAAATATAATAAAAGGAAATTAAGTTGGATATATTAATCAAAGTCGTATCACGTAGGGTATATTTTATTATATTTTTGAAAAGAAATTTTCAATATTGCGTATAAAGGTTTTTAATATAAATTTGTTGTAAAATTGTTAATGATCTTCCAATTTTTTTATAATTTTAGAATCCTTTTATTAGTAAGTTAAAGTAATAAAATAGTTTCGAATCGTGAAAATTTCAATTCTATCGTCTTAGTCAATTAAAATTTACATTTAACACGCAGAGTATACTCACGAATATCGAAATCAATATTTTTATACAGACATCGTTCATCATGCATGGAGCAAGAAATAATTGGTGCGTGTAATGAAAAAATAATATAATATCGTTAAAAAGAAAGAATTTTTATTAGTATGCTAAAGAAATAAGATACTATACTAAAGAAATAAGCAGAAATAATTTTCTTCTCCAATCAAATTGTTAATTAATTTTTGACATTTTTTTTGAAAAATAATAGAAAGAAGAATAATTCTCAATGAATGGAATTAATAATTCTATTGAATTAATTATTTATAAAATACTATATATAAAATATTGAGATATTACAATAAATATTAAGCAATTTTGATCGTAATTTTAATTTTCTATCAAATTCTTTGAAAAATTTCGGATTGGCCAGTTTAATATATATTTTTATATCTTTGTGTTTTTATTTTGTACGATTTATCAATGAAATAAAATTTTAGAATATTTAACCTGTTTCATAGATATTCTTGATATGGTGGTACGATAATAAATAGTATGTAAGAAAGTAAAAAAGATTTTATATTAATAATATTTATAAGTATACTAATATTTATTAGTAATATCAACGTAATTAATAACATTGTTTAATAAACATCATATCTTGTTTTGTTATATTATAGAACACAAATATTTCAATATAACATAAGTAGAAACACATAGAAATAGAAAAAACTTCTCTTAGCCTAAATAACACATAATATATTTTTAAGAAGTACGATAAAACAATTATTATATTTTACTAATAAATATTTTAATAAATGTAAATATTTCTTACCAATGATATATCCATTAGGAAGGAAACTGTGCGATTGCAGTTATAATTTTTGTATGTAATTAATTATGTACAGTTCCTATTTATAAAAAAAAATCTTTGTATATTTTGTTTCAAGAATTTTTATATTCTTGATGATTGAAGATTGAAGAAATCTTGATCATCGATTAAAAAGAATTTAAAAGTACAAATATAAATTTGCTCAAAAAAAAAGAACTCATAAAATAAAAAATAGTAATCCAAATTTGTAAATTAGATCGAGACACGACATTTTTATTTTTCATTCATGATTTTAATTTTACCATTATTACAATTATTGATATTACTCTAGAAATAAATTTTTATATGGAATTTTTTAAATCTTGTCAATAAAATATTATATTTGATTTTGCGAATCATCTTTATTAAGGAGCGGAGCATAAAAACGTGATTGAATTGCAAAAGAAAATACTTTCCTCTTAAACATGTGTGCATAAGAATCGGAGCACAAATTCAACTTTATCGATGAGAACGTGACATAGATGTTGATAAAAATCCTTCTACTTACTATGTACGTATGCGCTTTTCAATATACGTAGAAAGTGTACTACATAGATGTGTACAAAGAAAGAGATCAGTAGTCCATGACCTAGACCTTGCTCAATGGATCACGAGTGTAGAAGGGAAAGAAGAAAAGTTTTTCTTTTTCGAACAATACTTTTCAATTGTTCCACAAAATTAAGAGCAAGAAACGTGACGTTTTACATCTATAAAAAAAGACGTACAAATGATCAGAGTAATTTTTAATTAAAATGGGGTAATTTTTTGAGAAAAGAAAAAATAAAAAATGGTTATACGATAATATTTTCTTGCAAGCCGTGTAAAATTTAAAAGTAAAGCAAGATTTTTGTGCAAAATAATTGCCACAAATTAATTTATTTACGTTTAATGTTTGTAATTTTAATAATTTCATATATTTTATTTGAACACGTTCGATGACTGAAATGGCGTTGCACGTGCAATGAGGCAACTGGATAGTTACACAATTACGCAATAGTACTTTTTCAATGCAATAGTATTCGAAAACTTTTTCTACTTCTTACGAAATCTATTTCAATTATTCGCAATGAGAGAACAATAAGAAAAATTAATTTCAAAGTTCGGAGAATAAAATAAGATTGAATCGTTATTTTTAAAAATTAAAACTTTAAAATATATTAAAATCTAATTGAAATTATTCTAATCATATGTATATCGTAACAACGATAATAGAATTAATAACAAGAGTTAGGATGTACTACTTTTTTTAAATTATGGATCTTGTAATGAATAAAAATTTTTTACAGATACGTGCATGAATTATTTATAAAAGAAATTATATAAGTGTGATGTAATTATGCAATAGTCTTAAACGTAATTTAGTTTCATTATTTATAGTATGTAATAACAGGAAAAACTTATTATAAGCAATCAAATTTAAAAAAAAAAAAATACACGTATAGTAAAAAAATTAATAATAAAAAATATTTTTTTTAGTAAATAATTTTATTAAGACACTTTATTATTTAAAAGACAACTTATTATTTAGAAATTTACCATTTTGTTGCTTATGTTGTTTATAAATATCGTATTTGTAAATATTTTAGAAAAATACTTCGTATTTGATGAAAAAATATGTATTTTATACTCGGCAATGAAGATTTATTTATTATTAAAAATATAACAAGTGTATGAAAAATGATCACATATTAAATTGCTTATCGAGTTATTTATTCTTGCCAAAAATTGTTATTATTTACATTTGCAAGATATAAAAAATATAATTTCTCTTTATTCAATCTTATCGTCATTGTATTTTTTAACGTTGAAAATTAAATTTTAAAAATTTTTATTTATTTTATTAATTACAAGTGTATAGATATTCGATAAGTATCTTCCAAAGAATTTTTCGTAAAAAGATTTTGATTTGAATAATTTTTAGAAATTTCAGTCTTTTTAGTACTTTCTTTGCAGATGCATACATTTCTTTTTAAGAACAATAAATTCTTTGTCGTATCTTTTCACACACTAAATAGAAAATAGCAGAATAGGAACAATAGGTCTTTTGTTAAATCCTTTTAAATATATTCATTGCATACCATTCGAGTCATTACCTATATTTATCATGCGCGTGATAAATGTAAAAAATATATAATTAGAAATCGCAAAGAGAATATTCGTAACAATATTCGCGTCAAATTTGAAATCGTATCGAATAAAATTTTTTCATATATTATTTTTTTCAGCAATGAACGTACTAGGAACGTAGAATGAACTAGTAACAAAAAAAAAATCATAAAAATTGTACGATCGTTAGTGAACTCGCCTCTCTTTCAAATTTAAAAGATAGTGGAAAAATGGAAAAGATAAGTTTAAAAATTAATTTTTGACGTGTCGCAATATTCTTCGATTTTTTTTTTTTTTTTAAATTGCACACAGTACACAACAAAAAACATTTTTACGTCAAACAGTGGCCGTATTAACGCTGCGGAATTTTTCTGTAACAAAATAATTAAAAGAAAAACATTTCAAATTATCGTAAACAAATTATTGAACTATTGCATTATTTAAAGCAAAATAAAAACGCGCAGTAAATAATAGCCGTTGCATCGTTTCACAACATTGGATTTCTCCAGTTGCAATTACGAAAATCTAGAAATTCATAGACGCGAATCATCAAAATGTTTTTCACAATGAATAATGATAATAAAAAAAAAAAAAAGAAAAAAAAAATTCTGCAACATTTACATTCGACATTTTACATTTACATCATTTCCCCACTCCCTCCCACCACATTTACATTTCAAGAGGAATACTCCCTAGCGTTTTCACCCTGATTCAACCTCTCCTTCTCGTCCTTCTCCGCCAATTGATTCAACTTAACTTCGTAAGTAGACCTGCCTTTTTTATCCGAGCCGAAACACGTGGCGAAGCAGGTGTCGTGCCTCCCGAAATTCTCCCCGTCCTCTATGGTCTCGGGCATCGGTTGGTTCACCGTCTCGGGCAGATACATGGACAGGAAACCGGACACAAGCGCGATGAAACCGAAGAGAATGGCGGGCACTTTGGGATCCAACGAGTCCAACAGCATTATGGCGGGTGTCAAAGTGCCGCTTAGACGAGCGCACATCGATCCTATCCCCAAACCCGTGTTCCTCACCACGGTGGGGAACAACTCGGCTGTGTAATTGTAAATAACGGCGAACGAGCCCGATATGTTCGACTTGCCGAACAGAACGATCCCGACGATCGCCGTCCTCGTCAAATCCGATCCTCCGGGTATCACGGCGGCTGTTATGCAACACACGCCGCCGATCAACATGAACGAGGTGATCATGCACCTTCTCCCCAACCTATCCATCAGGAAACAGATCATCACGTACGTGGGCATCTCGACCAGACCGCTGAGAAACAGCATGAGAAAGGGATTGCCGACCAGGTTGCCCGCGTTCAAAGACAGCCCGTAATACACGATCGAGTTGGCGAACCAATTCAGGCACACGTTCAACGTCTTCTTGCGCAGATTGGGCGTCTTGAACAGGTCCAAAGCACCGTAAGACCTCTCCCTTCGATCCACGTGCCCTCGTGCCTTCCCCTCCCCGATCAATTTCGCGGCGTCTATGTCCACGTCGGTCCCGTTCATCCTCAGACCCTTCTGCACGATCGCGAGCGCCTCGGTGACGCGGCCTTGGGCCCACAACCACCTGGGCGACTCGTCCATCAGCCACCAGTGGCCCGCCAACAGGGCGCTGTGAAGCCCGTAAACGATCTGCAACCACATACGATCCTTGATCACGGCCCCCCAAATCGCAACCAGCATGAAACCAACGGCGAAAGTTAGCTGGAACATTATCCCGCAAACGGTCCTCTTCGTGGCTCCGACCAGCTCCATACTGAGCACGAATCCTGTTATGTACGCGCCCGCCGAGCCGAAGATCCCGTACAAGAATCTGAACACGAGGAACAGGTGGTAGTTGTTGACGAACGCGACTGACACTCCAAGAACGAGTTGGGCGATCGCAGACACGTAGAATATTATCTTTCGACCGTATTTGTCGGCAAGGCTGCCCAACGTCACTGCACCGATGAACACGCCGAACATGTAGGAGGATTGGGCAAGGGCGCCCATCCATCTTCGCGAGCAGACCAAGTTCCACTCCATGCCTCGGGACGATTGGAAGTATTGGGTGTCGTAGGTCCACGAGTCGCATTCCTTCGTCTCGTTGTTCCCGTCCAAGTAGTAGCAAGCGTCCACGGCTCGGGGCAAATTGTCCACGCTCGAATTCGAGGTTGTCGTGAGGTTATTGGGATCCGCGATCAACGTGATCCCGGGCACGTTGCACTTGTGGGGTGGTACAGCGGCCACCGTCAACAGCGTCAGCATGTGCAGACCGGCCGTCAACGCGCCCAGAATGTGAAGAGAGAATTGCCAGAATTGATATTTACCGAACTCCCCGAGATGGCTCATCAATTCCTCCAGATTATTGTCCACGCTCGCCATTTTTCCTCCTTTCGATCTTGAAGAACCTCGTTTTCGTGTTTATTTATCCGATGATCGCGACAATGTTCTTGCACTTGGTTCAGATCGAGATCACTTTTGTCGATTCTAATGTGGACATCGTAGTTTGGATATTCGTATTTCAAATTGGATTTTTCTTTTCTAATTATTCCTTTCCTTCTTCTTTTTATAATAGTTAAGATATAAGAGAAAAAAAATACACGCACAAAAAAACTCACAAATTTCGTTAATTTCAACGCGAAGATCGTCTAACGCAGGATGAATGAGACGAATTGTCGGCTGCAAAGTTGAAAGTAATGCAATCGCGTGAAGATATGAACTGTACTGTTCTAATGCTCACGGAGAACTGGATAACCGTGAGTGGAACTGTGGGCAGAACGAACTGAACCGACTGAAGCGGATTGTACTGTCCATTGGAGAATGCGTTGGATTTATTTTTTACAAAATTTGCGGTCGTCCTCGCACCGTTACCGCTTATTTTCCTCCTCAGATTTTCTTCTTGAAATACCGATTCTAAGAATTTTGTCCGGTGATAATGCTCGATATGGCGGAAAGTAGGTTTCTGAAAATAAAAATAATATGAATGTTATTGGCATAAATCTTCGAACATCTTCGATTTTATAATAATTCACGATTATAACGTTACATTAATAAATTATTCTGGAAGATTATAAAATTGGGACGATTCGATTCTTGTTAGAATTAATTACATCTAATTATATACGGAAAATTGATTTGAACAATATGGAATGCTCAATAAGTAACGTGTGAAATTGTGAATATTATTTCTAAAAATAGATTTTTGAAATATTTGATTTTATAATAATTTGATAACTATTTTGGAAAATTATATTTGAGATAACCAAAAGTTTTCTGTTAAAATTAAATATTATAGAATAAGATTGATAGATTGTATCTATAAGTAATACATAAGAAAATTCTGAATCTTATTTCTAAAATAGATTTTCGATAATTATTCTGAAAAGTGATAGATAATTATTGTAATTAAGTAAACAACGTGTAAAAAAAAAATTAGTTCAAGTATTGAAAAGTTAATGTCTTTCACATATATTTATTTCTTTCACTTAGTTTCATTTCACTTAGAAACTTGGAAGGATGGGGTAAAACTGACTTCGATTGATCGAAATGGGAGAGTAAACAGCATTTAAGTAATATATTTACTGAATCTATCAGGTTCTGTAACATGATAAATATGACGTATTATCGTGTGGATTGATTCAAGAAATTATAAATATTATACGTAAAAATAGGTCGAGAAAATATAATAAGTGATAAAAATATCGAATTATTAAAATCAAAATATAAATTAAAAATTAAAATATTGACTATTATTAATAAAACGTTCGATGTATCGAAGTAAATTTTTAAAAATGATTTAGAATACGTATTATCCCTTTGATAATTCTTTCCTTCTTAAAATATTATTTTATGGTTAAATGACGTTTCAAATTATTTCGAAACAGTTTATTAATTAATTTCGATGTAAGATATATTTATTCTAGCACTCGACAATACTTCGTCTTTTCAAAGTGACCACATGCCACAGATAGACAATTGGTTCATCGAATAAGACAATATGCAGATATAATATAGGCGGAAGTGGTCAAGTGTATATTATAAATTGTTAGATAGCCTCGTGTTTTATTTTTAATTCTATATATTAAGAATATATTAATCTTCGTTTTAAAATTAACATTCGCTCGATATTGGAAAAATTTTTGTTCAATAAATAATCAATTTCAATTTCTGAAAATAATCGATGTTCAATTTGGCATTTTTAAATTATTTCCAATGATATAACATTCAGATTTAAATAAAAAAATAATACAAAAGTTTAACAATATTTAAATTACCACGATAATACGAATTCCAGATTTATAATTTGTTTTTTATGAATTTATAAACAATTTTTAATCTCTTCTAAAGTTTCCTTCTGGTTTCTTCTTATCGATACGGATTTGTTTACCACTAAATATATACGAGATATTGTTAAGAAGAGAAGTAAGTTTTTTCTTTGTTGATACGAATTACTGGTTTTTGTTTATATTAAATTTGCAAAATAACAGAAGAAAAAAAAAATATTATTAGATTATTCGATAATTTTTAGTTAAATCTTAAACATATATAAAAATTTATAAACTTAACTTTTATTTTTCCACGACGAAATAACTATTGTTCACCACCACTGTTTCTTTTCATCTTCACTTTTAAACAATAACAATATTTTATCTTACATTTCGATTTTTATTTATTATTCTTATATTATTAATTACAATATTAATTTATTTATTCAGATATTATATTTCTCTCTCTATTCTCGAATGAAACACTACACTGCAAAATAAGTTCTAAAACCGCTCGCAGCACGTGCAATATCAAACTGAAAGCGGTGTTCTCATAATAATCTTGACATGCTTGTACGCTCGATGCCTTATCGTTCGTATACCAAAGATGGATACGGATATCGCGAGAGTTTGATTACAGTCCTTAGTTGTTTCGAAATAGATCCCTTAATTTTATAGCTTCCTTTTTTTTTTTTTTTTTTTTTAGATAAGCTTCGATACATTCGAAATTAAAAGAATCCACTCGTAACGATACCACACTACTGTTACTTATTCTCTGCCCAAAGAATTTATGTGACTTTCCTTTCCACAGGCATGACCTTTCTTCGCTTCGCTCTGAGGATTGCTATTAATATATAGGGTGTTTATTGTAACAGCTTGCCGGCCGATTGATTAAAATTTATCTGTGAGAAGTAACAAGTGTTTTTAAAATAATTCTTCTTCCACAGAGAAGAAAAAAAGATTGTGATACAATCTTTGTATCACCGGAAATTCTGTGTCTATTTCCATTCGGATGGATGACGTGTGAATATAAGAAATATCATTCAATATCATGTGAGTTATGTTAATCTTTTTGAAGTAAGTTTAAAGTCACATTTATAATAATTTTTGAATCATTATATCTGTAATTTTTGTATCTATCGTATTCGATAAATTTTTCAAAAAATTATTTTTGATAATTATTTAATGATAATATAATAAAATATTTATTATATACTCGATATATATTCGAAATCATGGAATAATAAATTTTAATTAATAACGCGATACTCCGCAACATAAGTCAAACTCGATGCAAAGACTTTCACTTCACAATTGTACTTCTAGTGACTCTACTCAACTAACTTGGATACACATCTTTCACGCGATATACACAGTGTGTTAAAAAATCGAGACGAAGAGGGATCATTTGTTTGTACAAAAATAAATCAAAGAGAATGGCAATTTTTGAGAAAATAGATTATAAAATTTCATTGCTCCTGTATTTTTAAATTCATTTTTCCTAAAAAATAAAATCTTCAAAATTTTGTTATTCTTAACTTTCGTCTTCTTTCGAGCAATATTGTCTGTCTTATTTTTCAAATTATACTCTATATTTTGAGTAATTATAGATATTACATTACTGACACTTTTGAAAATAATTTCGCGATAATGCATTACTTTGTATAAATAACAAATATATATACGTGTAATGAATGAATTAATTTGAAACAAAATTAGCAAATATGTACTTTAGATATGTAAAGAACACATAGAAAATATACGTTCGAGGTCATCTTTTGTGATTATCAACAAAAAAAAAAAATTATTCATACCTTTCAACCAGGTACACTAATCACTCTCATTTTAAACGAAAAACATAATTTTTGCATTTCGTAACTTAATTTCGTTTCTTTCACGTCACAGTGCGTTGCCACCGCGAAAATTTCTTCTTTGTTTTTTTTTGTTTCAATCACGCGTAATATTTTTTTCTATTTGGTATCCCAGAAATGAACTGAGTCGTATACGATGATCGTTCTATCTCTTATGCAGAAGAAAATCATTTAATCGCATTGAAATCGTATACAGTGAACCTGCGTGCTAGAAGTGGAAAGTGCAGAATGAGTTATTCCATTGTCTCCCCGTATGAATTATCATTTTGATGATGTACATTAGCGTTCACAAGTATCGAATTTTTGCAACAACATCGGTGAATTTTATCAAACAAATTAATCCCTTGTGATATTTTTAATTGCCTTTTCAATTGGCTTAAATACATGTTAACTCTTCGTTGTTTGTTATTTGCTCCCATTGTTACATCGTGGCAGATCACAGACCATGTATTTTCGTAAAAGAATTAATTTAAACTATATATATGAACTATATGAAAACAAATATAGAGAGATATATGCATATATTTTCGAGTACAACGAAGGGCAAAAATTTTCGTACATAAGGAAATTTATTTTATAATTGAAAAATTCGATAACAAAATTTTCTGTCGACAGGAAATTTCTTCGAGAGGATGAGATCAACAAAGTTTCATCAACTTTTCGTGTTTTCAAATATAATTTTCTCCTAGAAATTATTACTTAAAATTAACAAAGAAGTAAATTTTAACAAAGAATGTTACATAATATAGAATTTTAAAGTGAAATTTCCCCCAAAGAAGAAAATTGTTTCAATGAAAAATATTGCTTTATCTCAGGAATCTCCAATTAACATTATTTTATTTTGCACACGTTATTTATATAATAATTTGCTTTAATAATTTTTTTCTTTTAATTATATCGTTTATTAATCTAAAATATACGCAATTCCTAATCGTTAAACTTCAACGAATTGAAAATTGAAATTAAAGTTTAAACTTAAAATTTTATCATAAAATTTGCTTTTTTCAAAATTGAAACTGCAATTCCTATATTTCTCCACTTATATTTTTGAATGGTAGTGTACGTACTTGTTTATACAATACGTGCAATATCCATTATGCACGCTAGTGACCACGGGTTAATCGTTATCGAAATAACTCGTAGCCTTTTCACGGAGGAAATTTTTCGAAAAATGGACGGATCAAAGAAGAACAATGAACGAATAACACATTTATCGCGTTTCGATTACACAAAAATCTATTCGTGTAAAGTACTCTCACAGATAATATTTATCTGTATAATATATTATCTGTATAATCTACTCTCGAATTTCAAAGATTACACGAGATCGTTAAATAGAATTGGGGGACAAACTGTACGAAGTTAATATTACTTCGTGTCCAGAATATCAATCAAATTCTGCGGGCTATGATGATTGTACTCGAATTTCAACGTCGTATCTTATAATTCATACGAAAATAGAAGGTGTTTAAATCATCGATTTTGTAAATTTGAAATTATTTAAAAAATACAGAAAATTGATTGGATCCTTATGAACGTTGATTTTTCTCAAATAAATTTTCATCCTCGTATGTATGTAATACGTGTAATCGATCGATTTTTATGCGTTCTCATTATATGTTTGTTCAGTAAACAACAAATGCCTCGTACAGATATCGCAAAATACTTTTAAACAACGGTTACAGAATTATCGGATATCCCACGTGGCCAATTATTTTCTTCCAGACGAGATTTATTTTTTTAGAGAAACTGTATTTTCGTTATTTCTTGAATTCGGTTCTCAGAAAAATATTTTCGACGTAAAAACACGTGACTCTATCGTAATATATTCGTGTATTTGTGTACAACTTTATGATATTCGTACGAAAAAAAAATGAAGAGAAAAGGAAAGAAAAAGAAAAATGTTCAATAAAAGAAGAATTAAACGTCGGAAACTTACTGTTTCGAATTCGAGCACACGACTGTCGTTCGCTACGCTTGTTCACTGGTAGAAATAAAGGCGAACGACGTTCAATTAAACGATGAGCAGCGCCAATTTTTCAAGCTCGTTATGGCCCCTTCACCAATTATCCAACGTTCCTAATTTTAACCTCGGGATTAATTGATGGAAAGAAGGTGCGCCTTGTATCGAGAAGTATGGAGTCACTGACATGTTTGTTATAAAGAAAGTCGTCCACCACCGAAGATCTTAGATCACGTGTAATTTTATTCCGTTTCGTTCTTCGAGTACTTCAAACACACGAATATTTGTCCGGTGTTTAATCTACGAGTGTATCGTGGAAAAGTTATCGTGTCTTCTATCGATGGAATATTAAATTCGATTCATCAGAATGGAATATCTAGAATAGATACAAAATAAATAAATAAATTTGTAAAAGATAAGATATTACACATATAGACTTTTTTAATAATATTTTTCAAAATATATTAATTCACGATTAATAATAAATTTAGTTTTTCTTTTTAAAAGGTATTACGTATATTGATATAACTTTGATATTTGATGTATCTAGAATCAATATACGTAAAATCAACAAAAATTTTTTTTATGATATATACATAGTAGATAATCAAGCTGCTACTGAATCGGGTTTCAACAATTTCGAATTATCAAATCCTCGACGTCGGGTTATTGGACTACATATCTCCAATACGATAGAATGCGATTATTACCTAATCGTTTTCAGTGTACATAACTTTAGGAACAAACAGTACAGTGTTATCGAGAAAAATAATTTTAATTTGCTTTGGTATTTGCATTTCGGCGTACATGTGAGGTGTCCCGCTATTATGTATAGTTTTATAATTGTTTTATAATAAACGATTGATACTTGATAGTTGACAGTTGTGGGATCCAGTGTGGATTCGTTATCCTTTGATAACGAATGCTGATTAGTCAGCGTTGGAAAGAGTTCATCGATTAATAATGACAACACGCGATGAATCTAACTATAAATCGTATTATAAAAGTGTATATCTTAATAAAAAAAAAAAAAAGAAAAAAAATAATAATATTGTTTTACGATAAATTTTGATTAATTAAGAGAGTGACGACCTTTCGAATAATAATAAATATCGAAAACAACTTCGATTTATTCTTTTCCTTTGTGCCTGTTAAAAAAAGAAAAGAAGTGATTTTGAACATTTCGATCGATCTATGAAATAAATTTCCAATAATTTTAATTCTTTCAAATGGAGGATGAGAAAAAGTACCAAAGATCCTTCGAGTGACATTGAAAAAAGTAATTTCAATTACTCTCACTCCACACGTGCACACGTCGCACAATTTGCATTGCAAACACGTTCACTAATGAACAAAAACCGGAAAATTAGATAACCTCGTATAATCCAACATGCCGCATAAAAGGGAGGAAAGAAGGGAAGAACGGTGTAACGAGCTCGAGCTACATTACCGCGCGGATACAATTGTATTTCCTTCTCATCGAGAACGAAAAAAAAAAAAAAAGAAAGAAAGAAAAAAGAAGAAGAAGAAGAAGAAGAAAACCTTGGATGAATTCGGTATCGATGAGATCCATTGCCTTGACTCGAAAACCAATCCGAGGGAATATTGGATTTTTAAACGGAGGACCTCCCGCCTGGACTGTGATTCCGAGCTAGCCGTGATCCAATAAGCTTAAACGGATTTTCGAAGTTGCATCGTGAACCTGCTACGAGATATCGTCTGCTATTCCATCGAAACGATATCTGTTCAGTATCTCGCACAATCGTTGCAGAGTTATATTGAAAGAGAGGGGAAAAAAAAAAAAAAAGAAAAAAAAAGAAAAATAACCGCCAAGAAATCCTTTCCACCAAAAAATTTCACGAGGAGGTTGGACAAGTCGCGTTGACTTTCTCACTTCGTCGCGCGATCTTTTGCACTTCTCCATTTTTTTTGTCCGCACTGTTATTAATTTTCAATCACGAGGATCGTCTATTTTGTGCAACGACGAGGCTTCAAAGGTTCAATGAACGAAACGTACGCAACGTACGCAAAAGTGGTGGTGGTTGTTCCTCGACTTTTTGCTTAAATTTCGACGAAGAGTAATGCGAGGAGAATTTCGTTAATGAAAATTGTACTCACTGTGTATTGTTGGTAGAATGATTGGTCAGAGTGTGAAGTGATAGTGGAGGACGAAGCGGCGGAATGATTGACAGCCGAAAGCACGACATCCGTCTGCCGACACGAAACCGAGTCCTCGAGGCGCTCTGGCGAACGAGTCGTGTACTTCTTATTGGTAGGAGATAACGAAGACATGGCGCTATTGAAATCAAAATTTTTCTCCTCTAATTATGTAGTTGGCACGAGAAGGATTAAGTTTTTATTCGCGTTTGAAATGCAAATTTATGACCGATCTTCCTCCCCGTTGATATCTTTATTTATTCGTTCTCTATCGTGTCTATTGTTATCGTATTCATGAGGTCGAGGATCGATAGATTATCTCTCGTGTGGTAAGAAAAGTGTAACTGTGTTGTTTAGATTAGAAAATTATTATGAATTTTCTATATTTTACTTTTTATTGAGATATATGTGTTATATTATTGATACATGAAATATGTAAATATTTGTTGTCAATGCATAATCGTATTAATGATATAGTGGATAATAATATTTTTTTAATGATATTATTATTGTAATGAGGAATTCAAAATTGAAATTATTTGTTTATTTATTTTTTTGATGTATAATTGTTCATAGTTATCGATTATTTGTTATCATATATTATGAACATGAATATTTTGCGTATCTAAAAAACGTTTAAAGAAATGTGTAAAAAATAATTATAGAATATAGATTATAAGCTTTAAAAACAAAACAATTTAACAAAAAGTATTTGTAGAGTTTAAGCTAGCTTTAGAAATAGACAATTTTAATATTACAATATTGAATAATGTATTATTTTTTGCGATGTAATTTATAAAAAAGTATATTTCTATTTTTCTTTTTTAAATTTAACTTAGAGTTATAAATACCAATTCTATATAATATAGTATAATATTTTTTGTAAATGTTTTTTTTTATATCAACAGTATATTGATATATTAAAATCAAATATACTATCTGTTACATTACTTGATAACGTCATAGAGATAATGAAATTTAAATCCTATTGTATTTCATATGCATTGTTGACGTATTATTTATTATCTACTTGATAAACTAATAATAACCACGAATGAATTTTTTTACAATTTTTTTTTTATTTTTACTTAAAGATATTTGGCATATATAGTAGGAAGAAAAAAGTTCAGTCAATAATTACTTGTCGAAAATTCGAAGATAAATAACGCCTTTTATGTCAACAATTAAAATTTTCCATATTATTCGATATCTGATTTTTTTTAACTAACTTTTCGATAACAAAAATTTTAAACTCGTCCAAATATCGAAAAATCGAAGGAGACACGTTAAATAACAACGTGACGATTGAAAATTTTCTTAAAAAATAACAAATTTTCAATTTTGTGTTAACAACAACAAATAACAACATAGGACGACATTTTATACGCATTCCAAAATTCTCACGATTAATCATCGCGAACATTTTTCACTCGGAGATCTCCCCCTTCGAAACGAGACGACGAACTTTCGAACGCACGAACTCAGGAAAGCAACGATTTTACCTAACCAGATCATAATTAATTTAACGTTATTCCAATTACACGAATCGTAATATCGAATCGCAATGTCGACGACCCCTGTAAATATAGAAACGTCAGATAAGAGGGTCGAACGATCTCCGCCGTTGGCCTGCATTTCTCCGCGATTTCTGGCCCGGATTTGATCCGCCAAGTTGCGAAATCATTGCGTCTCGACAACATCTGCCGCCGCATCTATTGTCCCCGTTATTCTCTATAAGTGAGAAACATCATGGAAAAAGGGTGGGGGGAATGAAAAGAACGAAAAGAGGAGAAGAAAACGTTGAAATGAAAGTCCAGTTTCGAAGACTTGGAGTTTATTTATTCGGTCAAAGCGGTTGCAGTTATCCGATTATGCAATTTACAAGCGTGCGCGATACATAGAATCGTCGTGCCTATGGAAGAGAAACGGAGCAGGGAGATGCAAGTGGATAATGACGCTGGTGGATATACAGGGTGAGTCAGAGCTAAGAAGCTGGAAGCTGAAGATTGAGTTGATATAATTTGATTTATTATTACTTTCTTTTTTTTTTCGTAAGTTTAGAAGATATATGAAGATGTCTGTGTCTGTAATTGTTTTTTTTTAAATGGAATTTTATCGATAACTATTCGATGCAGAATGTTATTCGTAAAGGATTATCATTTTTTAATGAAAAATTTGTGTTTGAATTTTCTAAAATTCGATATATATATATATATATATATATATATATATATATACGAAAAACAAGGAAGCAAATTTTGAAAAATTTAAATTAAAATTATCTTTGAAAATAAATTTTTTAAAGCAATTTAAATTGGCGAGTTAAATCGATAATTGATGTTAAAATATATATATATATGATTTCATTCGAAGAATAAGTTTAATAATCTTCATAAAAAAAAAAAAAAGAAAAAATGAATTATTTTAAATTATTACTTTTACAGAATCATACACGATACTTATTCAAAGTTTTATTCAAACTTTAAATTAAGTTCCACTCTGTATATAATTGGTTTATCGCTTATACAGAGAACCGAGTGTCATCGTGATAACTCACTTCCTTAAGTATTCGTGTCTCGGATGAGTATGTAGATCGATCGCTTACAATTTTTTTTTTCGCAAATTATTATAATCAATATCTTCGCGATAGCATCACTCCTTTCCTGGATTTTTATCCCTGGATGAACCACTTGTACCACTAGTTGCTATTATTATAAATATAGTTTCTAACTAGATGTAACCGTTACATCTGAACAATTTGATTAATGTACACGATGGCTACAAATAATATACCACTATATTTCAACAAGTAACGACAAAGTAGTTAAATTTTACATTTTTATTGTTGTCACGGTATTAAATTTTAGACACGCAAAAGTACGATTAAACGATACTTAAAAATTGTGATATTATAATAAGTAAATAATTTCGCTATTTTATTAAGAAAATATAGAGGCAAAGGATGAAAGAAAAATAATTTAATTACCTTAATTCAATCAACCTCCATGATTTTTCAACGAAAGATCGATATTTCTTCTGCTTGCAATTGGAAGACAACAAGAAGAAAATTTAATAAATCGGTTATAAAATATAATCTGTATTAGACTTCGAGGCTTCGATTCTCTTGGCAACGAGCTTACTTCCGGACGGAAGAAGCCCCCCAAATTTTCGACGCTCTGCCCATAAGTAGAATCTCCTTCGAGTACTCGCCACGCTTGGTTACAATACTAGGTATTTTGTTCCGTAAGAGTACACCACAATGAACTGTAACCCAATCCTCTCCCTATAGACGGGGCATGTCCTACGGGGGTCGAATTACGCGCACATACGCGCGTAAGGATTTTTAATTCCACCCCCATGCCATGCTTCGAAACCTTGCTTGGGAAGAAATTCGATGTCTTTTAGAAATTTGATTACCCGAATACACGTTCGATTATCTAAATTCAATCGATTCTCGAGATTTATATGTGTATCTTTTTTTTTTTTTTTTTATAAAATTTTTGGACGATCTTGATATTCGTAAGAGGTGTTTGAAGTTGTTTCATTGGAAATGTAATCAATAAAGGAAACAATTAAAATTTTGTTTCGTATCGAGATTGTATTATTATTATATTTTTTTTGAGATGCTTTTCTTTCTTTAGTAAGAATTAATTTAATAGGAATTCGAAATATCTATTGAGAAATTTTGTATTTTATACAGTTATGTATATTTTTGTCAATTGCTTATTATACATTTAGAATGAGGTTCTATGTAATGATTCACATATCATGAACACCCGCGGGTGACAGAGATGATTTTAATCAATTAGGGGCACGCGCCTAACTGAATCAATTATCCACCTCCTGCTGATCAGGAGGTATTGGATGCTTGCTAACTAAACTCAAGTTGTTTCTCATCCAATGATTGATTAAATCTTTCACCTTTTTTCCTCCCATGTTATTGAATTTTTTTAAGAAAATTTTAATAAAATGTGAAGTTGAATGACAAAATATTTAATTAAGCAGAAATAGATCATTGATTATTAAAGAAGAATTTATAGGAACTAATTTTTTTTCTCTTTTTTTACCGTAAGAAAGATTAGTCATGGCGGAAGTTCACAAAGATGAATTCTATTTCATACGTAGATTATAAAAATTTCCAATGATTCATTTCGCATCATACAGCAACAATTAGATTTAACGAGGATAAATAACGTTTCATAAAAAACGAAGCAAAAACGTTATTTCCTCTTTGCTTTTTTTATTTTTATTGAAAATTTTTTTTTAGATAATTTTAAAACACATATACAATTATTTTTAATTAAAAATAGATGCTTCTTCTCTTATTAATTTTTTTTCTGAAATATTATTTTTAAATATAAATAATGATATGGCTCGATGCATGAATATATTTCAGAAATAGAATCCTCTATCTTTATCGAAGCTACATAAATATATAATAAATAACGACAATATTATTTACCATCTCTGGTCTCAAAAACATCATATTGGATTAAAACTATCGTAGCAAAAGTTATAAAAATATTATTGTCGATATTATTAACGACATATCTTATTATTACAAATTATATATATCGATGTTCCTTCCGGAAATACGCGTTTCCTTCACTTTTATAATCGAAACTGTATCCATAAATCACGTTAGTTCGAAATCGTATAAAAGATATTAAAAATTTTAACCATAACGAATCGTAAAAATAAAATCTTTTATCCCTCCATATCCATTCGATCCATTCGAAATCTCACTGTATTCGCAAATAAAAAATTTCAAAATTTACGATCCTCCATAAAATTAAAAAATAATGACATCATTTTGAATTTTTGTTAATCGATGAATAACATAAAATAAAAATAAAACGAAAAAGTATCCAAAACATTGTTATACATTCCTGTATGTAAAATTAGAAAATTGCTCGATCCAAAACTTGGTCAGATTCGGTTTCGTCCTGTCCTATGTCGAACTCCCTCGATCGATGAGAAAAATTTCGTTCGATCCGCAGCATGGAATTCGAGTAATAAATGGAGTTCTACTGTATCGTGGACGTGTTGAATTTGCAGGGATTAGAATTCTCTAAGCTCGGCGGAACACCCGGCATGGATGGCACGCCTCGATCGATCGATGGGATACCGCCTTGAGCACGTTGCCATTTATTTGTCGAACGTGGACACGTTGCCCGTGATTTGTTTACAGTTTCAATAATCTTTGGAGGAATATGCACGAACCATCATCAGCCTTGGGCAAATAATCCGTGGACGATTGTTATTTACGAGGCAAAATAAATAAATTCCCCTCCCTTCTCCCGTCGCGCTCTAATTCGACTGGAACAATTATGCGCCCTCTCAAATCATAATT